AGAGAATAGAAAAAACAAAAAGTAGTTTCCCACTGTTCCTCCATTCTAGTAGAGACAAATTTCCTCATCTTTTTTGTCTGCTAAAGTATGTGAGGAGAATAATAGGATATGGACTGAAATGAAATTAAAATGGAATAATAACGCAACGAAATATATTATTATATATTGAAGCTTTTAATTAGAAACGGATAAGTTCAATCACGAAATTCCGTATGAATATATATATATTTTTATTTTTATTTTACATGACACCAAAAAGTGTTAAATCTAATCGTAATACTACACTGTTAAAGGGTCATCAAAAGTGGTATTCTATTATTCTATAGTAGGTATTTTATTCTTGAATTTGACAATATTAGGCCGTGAATCGTTCGTATTATTATTATGAACTAAACGTTGTTATTTCATCAAAGTTCATTCATTATACATGTGTTTGTTTCTCGTTCAATGTCTTATACTGCTCCGAACTCGATTAACTTTGATGCTCGAAGAGTTTCACTTTAGAAGTAAGTACTTCTTATTAAAGACAACTCTATACTCAGACTCAAAACTCAGGACCGAAACCTTCATTTAAGGATAAAAGAATATTTAGTATATATTATATATGTAAAGAATAAAGCACTCAACTCAACTATATATTTTGTGTCACAATTAACTATTTTAAGTTTATTTTGCTAGCTAGTCCAAATCGTCATGGTTAGACCATCAAAACATCAAATTAAACTTAATATCCTAAAGTCTCGTTTAAAGATCTTAGATTTTTTATTTATTTATTTGCTAAGAAAGATCTCAGAGTTGGATAGTATTTTGTCTTGTTTTCAATAAATGTCTAGTGTTGTCTCATTAAATGTGAAGATGAAATATCATGTTTAGTTAATTAATTTGACGGTCAAATTATGATATCTAAAGTGAGATAAATAAGAGTATTATGATTTTATTTATTGTTGGCCGCAAACTTGTAAAATAGTTATTGTAACCCACAGCTATATATTATCTACAACACCGAACAATTGCTGACAAATAATCTTAAGAAGTGAACATCTGTTAGAGATGATGCATTTTGTTATTTTACCTTTTAATATAGTATACAGTTTTTTTAGGGTGAAAAATGTCAACATTTTCGTCTTGAAGTTATTGACGACAAGGAGATCAAAGTCATGATAATGTTAAATGTCTATGGTATAGTTATTGATGAAGTGTGAGAGAATCATAAGATCTCATATTTAAATCTCATCAGCGACAAAATATTAGGTGATCTATTTATTTGTAATGATGGAAGATAATAGTATGTATTTAAAGTAGAAGTGCGTGCAAGCTGACCCGAATATAATAAAATTTTAAAATATGTACATTTCCTTTGTTCAATTTTTAGCTGTCACTTTAATTCTTTTCAAGCCCACTAAAAAAAATAATAATGATATATAATTTATTAAGTTACTCCTATTAAATCATTTTTCGAGAATTATCAATTTTTCAGTATCATACTATTGAGAATAATTAATAAATTTAATCTTGAATTCTTAAAATAATAATTATTTCGAGATCATTTTGAGTTAAGTCGATATTAATTTGGGACGGATATGGACTAAAGGTGGTAAAAATAAACAGAATTAGTTGTATATAGGCCGATGTTTAAAGGTTTTCTTACAAGTAAGATTATTTAAACCTATTTTATTAATCTCAAGTTTGGTGCAAAGAAAACTTTTTTGACTTGAAAATGCAGAAAATTAGGTAGTCTTGTATTGTGTTCATTATCATTGGAGATCTTGTTTATACGCGGCGCTCAGCTTTTAAGTCACAGTTTGGGCCCACAATTCCTGGGCCCGCGTCTCTGGGAAAGAAGAAAGTAAAGAAAAAATGATATTGTATATTCGCTGTAAAAATAATAGTTGAAAAATTATATAAAATTTATATATTTTTTGTATATATATATATTCTATATGTTATATATAAAAATTATACAAATTTTATATACTTTTTTGACTGCCAAATATAAATAGTTTCTGGCGCAAACTAAAAATAATAATACTTGAGAAGTAATGTCCCTCACGTGGGCCCACTATTCTTGACTGCCGTGCCAATCTTCCTCGTGTTCTTTGGAATTTCTAGACTAGCCCATAAGTAAATTTAAAAAATGTTGACATAAAATAATAATAAATAAAATTAAAAAGAGAAGAGAAACAGAATTATAGTTTTTGTGTTTCATGCATATTATGTGCATTACCAAATTGTTGGTTTAATAACATGCATGATTCATCCCATTGTTTTATGCTAGTTATTGTTGATTAATATATCTTCTTTTGGGAAGGGGGTATTGGCTTATTTTTTTACATAATAATTATGGTTTTCGAGTCAGTTTGTGTGCACGTAACTCAAGGGAAAAGGCAGAGTTCTATTATCGAGTTCATGTGAAATCAGTATTTATGTAACATAAATCTATGTGTAAAATGTACTAAAATTGTAATAACTGATAGGTCTAAACCTATAATATGAAAAATATAGTAAATTCGATGTTAAGAACCTTAAAACTGAATTAAAATCTTGAATCTATCTTTGAATCAACTAATTCAATAGAGCACATATTATCTTTCATCAACACAGATACAGATTAATTTTGTCCGCTGTACTATTTTTGATATTTGCTTAAATTATAAGAAAGAAAAATAGTTAACTCAATAGATAGTTCGTTAATATTTGATTGAAGTTGAAAAAATATTTCAGTTGAAAGGAAGACAGTAAAGTAAAATTGTATTTCATTTAGTACTCGTCATACAACTATTTCAAAATAAGAACTTGTATTTTATATGCTGAATTTTGTATCTGCACATACTGTCACCAAATACTAAAATTCAATTTTTACAAGTATTGAATACACATAATAAATATCAGATAAGTACAATTTACAAGTCAAGAAATTAATACAACTCATTAATGACCAACTTTAACATGAATTAAGAAAGAGACACTTATCAAGTAATATTTCATTTACTATAACTTGTTTAACAAATTTGTTTAGCTACAAATGCCACTTGTAAAATCACTATAGAAAGGTTAATAACTGTTGAACTAACTTGTGCAAAAGAATACCAAGACAGAGAAATTGACAGAAATACAATTTTGGTTGTTACAATAACAATATATCTAGTAAAATTTTATAAGTGAAATTTGAGGAGGATAGTATATACACTCACCTTACCTTTACTTTGTGAAGCTAGAGAGATTGTTATCGATAGACACTCGGCTCAAAAAAAGCATAATTCCAACAGTCGTGGAAAAAAGTATAATAGTGGAGAAGCTATAGAAAAAAAAACAATAACAACAGTAAGAAAAAGATAGTAATAAAAAATAAAGAATAAGAAAATACGGAAGTAATGCTTATATTACTAGTATTGAGAAAAAAAAATCGTGCAAATACCTACTGCCTTAATCATCAACTTTCGCATCTCCTGCCAATAAATTTTGCCTTCACTATTTGCATTTTCTTGTGTACGAATTGTTATTTTCAATGAACAAACTTGACAACATAGTTTTTCCTATTGTTCAACTTGTGATCATAGTTTTACCGTTAAATTAGATGAAAAGGTTATAAACTCTCTTGATTTTGGTCATTATTGCTAAAACAAGACTAAACCAAGATTTCATTGTCTTGAATTATATTTAAAAAAATCTTCCATATCTTCGTTATTCTTTCATCTCTTAGAAAAGGTAAAGAATGGAGGCGAAAACTGTTAATTTTATTTAAATATTTTAATTTTTTTAGTATTTTCTTATGATATGCACAATCTATAAGTTTATAATTCATATTGTCGATCTTTACTTATTTAAAATTAAAATATATGCGTTGTTATTTAATAAATTCTTATAATAATTGAATAAACCATCGTAATATGATTCCATCAAAATAGTGTAAACTAAAAAAAATTGAAGATTCGTCAATGGAACTAAACTTTAACCGATTTCAATGTTATAGTGCACCTAACACACACACTCAATTCTTTTCTTGAAATGGATGTTACTTCAAAGGGAAAAAATGTCAATTAATAATTCGATCAATTTTTTAAACTATATAACAAATAATTAATCAATTAAACCATAATAAAGCATGTGGTCATCCTTCTGTTCCACTCAGGTTACGTCTATTTATGTTTCCCATTTCACATGGACTTCCCAATTTTAAAGAAACCCTTCTAAGATCTCACTTAACTATTAATGGAAGTGCAAAAATAAAGGAAAAATAGAAAGTGCCTTTCCAAGCATTATTTATGGGCAACGAGTTTTTTTCTTTTTTTGAACAATAGCTCAATCACATCCCATTTAAAATTGCTAGCCTTCTTTGCCAACTGAAAAATACTTTAATTAATTAAGTCCAAATTTTATTTAATTCATATTTTTTAAGAAATAAATTTAGTTATTTGTCACCATGTAGAAAGAATTTGCAACTATAAGTTTTTACATTTTAACATGACTATATATATATATATATATAACATTTAGTAAAAAGAATATCAAATTGATATGCAATGTGATATTTTTAGTATAAATATTAAATGTACTAATATAAATCTTTGATTTATTAAACTACTAAAAATTTAGAGATTTTGCAATTGAACGAGGGTAACATTGTCTAAGCGAAATGCATAAATTTTGTAGTTTTTTTTTTGGGGGGGAAATTTTTCAGAGAAACCAGTAATCGCAACCTTCGAATATGCAATGACTAGCAAATTACACAAATAACGTAAATTAACTAGACAAGCCCGGTGCAATAACCTCTAAATAAATAAATTTTGTAGTTCACTTTGACTGAAACTCTACGATCCAGCACTAATCTTTATCAACAATATTAATTTAACAACAAAAAGGGTGTTATAAATTAGTACTACTATTCATTAATCAACCAATAAAATAAGTAAAAAAGCACAAAAGTCCAAAAGCAGATGTTTGTGATCTATAGATTCAGCTTCTATATTTTCTTTTCCCCTAATATTTTCATTTCACTTTATTCATTCATTCATTCACACACACACACACACAGTCACACACCCGCCTTTCTCTCTCTCTCGCGCGCGCGCGCCTCACACCATGTGAACTCTCCTCTCTCTCTCTCTCTCTATATATATAAAAATATGTATGTACTAATGTGAGATCTTTGTAACTTAGTGGCTTCACTTCACTCTGAGATTTTCTTAGTTGTATAGCCAAAAAACAATAATGGGGTCACTTGTTTTTCACTGAAAAAGCACATGATAATCTGTGTGTGTGTGTGTTTTGTTTCATATGCTGCAGTGAGATTTGGAGAGTGGCTGTAAGATGAAAATGAGGGGCTATTCATTTTTTACTGCTACTCTCATTCTTGTTGCTGTTTCCATTTTTCTTAGCTCAATCCATACTGATGCTTTACCAAGAGATACTTTCAAGTCCATTTTAGGTGAGTCATTTTGATCATTTACAGTTTCTTGGCTGTTTAATATTGTGAAGAAGGTGAATTCTTGAATTGGGTTTTAGGAATTTAGGTGAGTCATTTTGATCATTTTCCATTTTTTTTGGGTATTTGTATTGTGAAAAAGGTGAAATCTTGACATTGGATTGTAATTGAGTCATTTGATCATTTCCACTTTTATAGTGAAAAGGGTGAATTTTTGATGTTGGGTTTTTAGGAATTTAGGTGATTCATTTGATCATTTTCACTTAACTAGTTATATAGTTAACAAGGTGAATTGTTGATGTTGGGTTTTAGGTGATTCATTTGATCATTTTCACTTAACTAGTTATATAGTTAACAAGGTGAATTGTTGATGTTGGGTTTTAGGTGATTCATTTGATCATTTCAACTTTCTTAGCTATTTATATAATGAAAAGGTGAATTCTTGATGTTGGGTTTTAGGTGATTCATTTGATCATTTTCACTTTATTATTGGCTATTTATATTTTATATAGTGAAAAAGGTGAATTCTTGATGTTGGGTTTTAGGTGATTCATTTGATCATTTTCACTTTATTATTGGCTATTTATATTTTATATAGTGAAAAAGGTGAATTCTTGATGTTGATTATCAGGTGATTCATGTGATCATTTCCACTTTTTGACTATTTGTATTGTGAAAAAGAGTGAGTTATTGTTATTGGGTTTTTAGTTTAAAGGGTTTTTGGCAGTAGTGCTGGACTGCTGGTGGTATTGGGGTTCATTTCATAGCTATATGCCAAAAACAAAGAAAAAATTGGGTTTTTGGAGGAATCTGTGATTTGTTTTTATATGTGGTTCTTGCAATTGGGAAGTCATTTTCTAATTGTTTTATGGACAATTTTATTTAGCAATTCATGGTGTTATTTTCTTGGTTATGTATTTTGGTGTTAGTACTTTAATGGTCATTCACTAAAAAAGTATTCTTTTTTTACTTACCTCAGGGTAATTTAGCTCTTACTGTGTGATATCTGCTTCAAAATTATCTTACTTGCACATCTGAATTAATAATATGTAAAGATTTTTGGTGATTGTAAGGACTTCAAAACTATATTTCTTCTTTTCAATGCTTTTAGATAATGGTTAAGTGTTAAAGAAAGGATCTTTTTTGATGCTGAATAGTTTTCCTTATTTCCAGTTTGGTGCTCTTTTATGTTAGTTTTAATCGTGAGGAAAAATTACAGGGGAGGGAAATTTGGAATCATGGAAGAATGGAGTATTGGACTCAGCAGGTATGGCACACGCGCCAGGTCCAGCCGATGGGCATGTTGGCACGCTTGTGCTGGCGGGAAACAGGACGAGGAGACCGGACTTTCTTTCTGGTTTCCACAAATACAGAGGTGGATGGGATATTGCCAATAAACACTACTGGGCTGTAAGCACATCCTCCCTTTTTTTGCCATCTTTTGTCCTTGAATTGTCTAGTAAATGTATAGCCAATGGATCGTTCGATGTTTTCGCTATATTTAGGATCTCTGATGCGCCTGGACTTGCACATAGTGTTATCTTTATTTTGGGTCCTTATTGTTTGTACTGTATCTTATTTCCACTGCCCCGCTCTCTATGTGACCAAAATAATGTTGGTTGAGTGCAAACACTTAGCTGGGGGAAGGGTGAGGTGGTGCTTTGTCTGATATCTGATACTGGTCCGGACACGACTTTAAGCTCAAGTCCCTAACTAATTTATGATCTACTGAACTTCATAACCGAGTAAATGATTTGACCTGGAAAATTCTGAGATAGAAACTGCATAAGATGAGTTATTATTGGTTAGTCCAGTTGAAAATTTTTCCGGGCCAAGTGAGAAAATATTGGTGGTGAAAGAGGGATGGTCTAGTAAATTAAATTTTTGTATTCTTCTGTTCAGAGTGAAACAACAAATTGCGTAGTTGGACTTAAGTTTTTTCTTTTTTTGAGATAAAGCGTTTCCTCTTCTATTTATGATGGGTCCGAATAGATCGAAATAAATATAATTCGATATAGCCGATTGAGGTCAGTTGATTGGTTGATTGATTTAAAGTGATTCCTCATCTAGTCTTAGGTGGCTTTGGGAGAGCACAAGACTATATATCAAGAATAATGAGATTATGAACTTCAACTTTAATTATATGTCATCCAATGAATAAGCGAAGAATGTGGGTTGATGAATGATCTTTTTGTGTGTCGCCTTGAAACCATGATTTTCGGTTTATACGACTCCATACCTATTATAAATCTTGGGATAAGCTTGCTTTAATTGTTTAATTGGGATTTCCATTTAGGAGGCAGTGAGCTTATGAGGATTTTAACTTTGCTTCCGCAGTCTGTTGGTTTTACAGGCCTTGCTGGTGTCATACTTGCTTTGCTTTGGTTAATTTCATTTGGTTTAGCTCTCATAGTGCATTATTGCTGCGGATGGAAATTCAATATCAGAGGCAGAGAATGGCATTTTTCCCAGAATATATGCCTGGGCGCGCTTATTGTCTTGACATGTGCTGCAGCGTAATAATCTAACACTTGACCGACTGCTTTCGTATACATATATTCTCTCATTTGAATTGTCACGATCCTGTCCTTATTGTTTTGGTTTTCTTATTTGACCGACAGGATTGGATGCGTCCTACTTTCTGTCGGACAAGATGATTTTCATGCTGAAGCATTGGACACTTTAAAATATGTCGTAAATCAGTCAGATTACACTGTGCAGACATTGAGAAACGTAACACAATACTTGTTACTCGCGAAAACTGTAAATGTGGCCCAGATTTTCCTCCCTTCAGATGTAAAAGATGATATTGATCACCTAAATGGAGATCTAGATTCTGCAGCAGATAAACTTGAGGATAAAACAAATGAAAATTCAGGGAAGATACGAAGGGTCTTCAATGCTGTGTAAGACTCGAATTTAATTTGCTACAATTCTTCAGTCTTTGCTTTTTGCTTCAACGTCTGATGTTAATGTGCAACTGGCACTTTGCAGGCGTTCAGCTTTGATCACTATTGCCGTCGTCATGCTCCTCATCTCCATTCTTGGTCTTTGTATGTATTAGCACACCGAATAATAATCTCAAACTTTTTCTGTTTAACTGTTTATTTTGAGACCGAAATCACATTTCTTGCAGGCCTTTCTATCCTTGGCCATCAACACGCAATTCACATGTAAGCTCCCCTCGCTAGTGCTTAGACAATAATAGTTTGTCTTTTGGTTTTATCAATACTCCCGTCATCTGACAACCCAGTACGCTGATGCAGATTTATCATTAGTGGATGGTTACTGGTGGCAGTTACATTCATTCTCTATGGAGTTTTTGTCATCATAAACAAGTAAGAAACAATGTCTAAACGAAAGTATTCATTTAGTACAGAAGCTGGTATTTTTCATGCTTTTAGTTTGCATTATAAGTTTTAGAACTGCTTTTGTGCTTCTTTTCCTTGTTCCTGGGGTTGCAAAAGTGCTCTCTTTATTCCACACTAAGGATATGTCCTAGTGAAATCGGGACAAAAACCATGGGAGACCTGGTTCAAATCCCAGCATATAGGCAAAAAATGCTACTCCCTCTGTTCCAATTTATGTGGCGCGCTTACCTTTTTGGTCAGTCCCAAAAAGAATGTCACATTTCTTTATTTAGAAATAATTTCTCTTTAGAATTCCTACCTTACCCTTAATGAATTGATTACAACAACTCAAATATCTATGGTTTATTTGTAGACCACAAGTTTAAAAGTCTTCATTTCTTTCTTAAACTACGTATCGAGTTAAACACTGTCACATAAACTTGAACAAAGGGAATAGTTGATTTCTTCTCAGCTATATAAGATTTGGTGGGTAGAGTTAACTGGTACCTGTGGTGGTGGGAGGTAGCAGGTACCCAATAAAATATCAAGGTGCGTGCAAGTTAGACAAGGTACCACAGTTATTAAAAAATGGTGCTCTCTTTATTCAGTCCGCAATGAGATTTGTGTAGTGTTGCCGCATCGTGGAGAGTAATCCTCCAACATGCTTAGCTTTCTATTAATAAATATGCTCCATTTAAGATTTTCATAAGAATGTAAACGTGTTTACTGGCAGATTGAGAATAATTCGATAATTGGATGTATCGCTTATCAATAGGTATTTTTTTTTGGTTGTAGTGCAATTTCAGACACTTGTATGGCAATGGGAGAGTGGGTAGACAATCCTCATGCTGAAAGTGCCCTTAGCAACATACTTCCATGTGTTGACCCAAGAACGACAAACCAGACGCTGTTCAAGAGCAAACAAGTCACTGTTGATCTCGTAAATATTGTCAACGGATTTATCGACACGTACGCAAATGCCAATCCATCTAATCATGCCAATTCAAATTACTATAATCAGTCAGGACCCTTTATGCCACATCTCTGCTATCCATATGACTCCCAATTGCATGATCTTTCGTGCCCCGCTGATCAAGTGTCTATGGCAAATTCTTCAATGGTAAGTTTTAATTTTTCTCTTACCCCTTTCCCGGCTAAGAAAACTATATTAGAGGAAATGAAACCAACTTACCTTTGCCAATCGATGTGTTCTATATATCTGCTCTAGACGTTTTGCTTTAAACGCCAGTGGATAATACCTATCAGACAATGATGCTATAGTTATATGCTTATAGATGCATGCAGAGGCAGATCCAGAATTTAAACTTGATGAGTTCAACCTTTAAAGTTCTTAGCTCCGAACTCATTGTACTTTTAAACTTATGAGTTCAAATTATAATATTTGTTGACCTTCTCAAAAAAAAAAAGATTCCTCTTCAAAGTTATCATATTTTTTGAAATTTTAGTGGTGTTTCACATATATGTCTACACTCATGTAAAAAATACTGAGGTCAATTGAACCACTAACGTATAAACCCCGTTCGCCTTTGAATATATGTCGATGTTAAATTTAAAATTAGCTGTTAATCTGCTAGTTTTTTTCGCCGTTCCTTGCGAAGGTTAGATCTGCTTTTGATTATACAGAACCTTAGACATTAAGTATTTGGTAAAACATCATCTGTTTTTCAAAATTTCCAGGTATGGCAGAACTTTACTTGCAACGTATCTGCAGCTGGAATATGCACTAGTGTCGGGAGGCTGACTCCTGACATGTACGGACAGTTGGTGGCGACGGTGAACATTAGCTATGCACTTGAACATTACGCTCCGCCATTGCTTAATCTCCAGAACTGTGATTTTGTTCGTGATACGTTTAGGAACATCACGGTCAATCACTGCCCTCCGTTGGAACACCATCTTCGGGTTGTTAATGCAGGATTAGCTGTTATCTCAGTTGGAGTCATGCTAAGTCTCGCTTTGTGGATAGTATATGCAAACCGCCCCCAAAGGGAGGAAGTGTTTGCGAAGCTCTCTTCGCGAATAAAGAGCAGCTGTAACGGCAAGAATATTAGCTGCAGTAATTGTAATATTGATTTGTCATCAAGAGGTACAACTCCAAAAACTGGAGTGTAGATAATATCAGAGTTTTAGCATAGAGAAAGTGTAGAATTCTGTGGCATGAGATTCATTTTGATCTCTTATAACCTGTGCTCAAGGTGGCGGCGAAGCACCATTTTCGAGCTGGGGATTGGTAGTCATTCTATTTTACGTCTAATACATGTATAGACAGAGACGGATCCAGGATTTAAACTTGATGAGTTCAACAAGGTTATTATCATTGAACTTGTTATGTTTTTGACATTATGGGTTCAGAATTTAATATCTTTAGAAATTTTAGTGATCTTGTACTATATATCTATATCCATGTTCAAAAGTATTGGGTTCTAATTCCATAGTATATACATTCCATCCGCCATTGTGTATGAAACAACATATCGAAACTATTATTTTCAGTGCTAGGTACATGTGCCTGGTGAAATAGTCGAGGTGCTCACAAGTTTCATAGAATTTTATTGTTAATAAAAAGACCTTTTGGTTAAAATCATACACTGCTTCCCTTCTCGTACTGCTTTCCCTTTCCCCTATTCAGAGGTGGACCCAAGATTTGAGCTTTACGGGTTCGAATTTGGGACTCTACCACAACTCATTTGATTTATTGGGTTTGAAATCAATTATTTGTACTTATTTAGTGAGTTTTTAACTCATATACATGATCCGAGCCAAAGCTAAAAACAAAAAGTGAATAACTAAAACAAAATAAGGTTATAGTTAACTCAAACCATACTAGAACTTCTTGATGAAGAGTTTAACTAATGTACAAGCAAAATATAACATTTCGAGTGTTTGTAGCTCAATGTTATTAAATAGTTATTAAAACCCCTTATATTTAAAGTATTGCAAATGGCTTTTCTTGTGCTTTTAGCTACTATTTTCTTTCTTTCTTCCTCTCCTTTTCTCTTATGGGGAATGGTTTTTGTTCCACTTTGAATCTCAAACATACGTAGAAAAGAGTGAGTGAAAACCAACGAAAGACTTTAATTAAATTCGACGGACTTTTTTTACTTCAATATTCTAGGGCTCAAATTTTGATAAGGAAAATTTTAAATTTTAAAATCATGCATTTGATATAATTTAAGTTTGATTAGATGTTTTGATGTTATTTTCATCACATTGAGCTAGCCACTAGTATTATACATTTCAAACGACTAGCTTTAGAGTACACGTGTTGCGTGTATCTCGTACCATGAATAAAAAAATTATAAAAATTACTAAGATATTATTCAGAAAAATTATCAAAATTATTAAATAATTTTAAAAAAAAATTAAACTCCGAAAAGGATAAACGTTTGATCTTATTTATCTAATTCAGTAAAGGAAAATTTATGCTCTACGAAAGTCTTCTATACCTTATTATTTGGACTTTCGTTAGGAACTGATTCAAGTTTGCATGCCATCTTTTATATACAAACCACTATCATGAATAAGAGAATATACATGTTGATAAACGCTGTTACTTTCTTTAGCTCAATAGTGATGGATAATATAGTTAGCCTCAAATTCCTGATTTAATATATGTTTACAATTACATGCAATAGCTATCCGCTAAAAATATTTATGGATACCAGGACAAACTACGAAACATTATGACAACACTATTGAAAAGCATTATATTAACATTTTCTTTAAAACAAACACTTAGTTGGCAATAGCTAGTAACAGTTTTAACATTAGCAATCTAAGAATCTTCAAAAAATTTACAGTCCAAAAATAATTATGAGACCTGAGTTTGATTTGTACATAATTTACTTTACATTTTCATCTCTTCCTCTTGCAATTGATTTGCACCCCGGAGGAAAAAAATATGGTCAATTTAAGAGTCTTTTGGTATCCTGAGATGAAAAACTTATAATTATAATAAATTAATATAATTTGTTGCAAATATTAAGTGTAAGTAAAATTATTGTTCGAAAATATTACTCATAGATGTTAAAAAATTATGTTATTCTCACGAATACAACTGGAATACCTTTTGGATGTCACTTGCTAATTGCTGTATGGAAAATACTTTAAAATAACGTATAGTACTAATGTTCAAAATAATTGACTTTTTAGTGATTTATTTAAGGTAATTGTCACGCCCCGGAAATTCCACCCTCGGGACCATGATGACGCCTTTCACTTGCTAGGCAAACCAATGTTAGAATAGTTTATCCATTCTTAACAGTTCAGATTAAATGATGATAAAGAAGCTGAAATAACTGCAATAAAGCTGAGGCAAAGTGCGGAAAAAAATAACTGCAATAAAGCTACTAGATTAGTACAAATAAAGATCTGAATAAAATAAAGTTGTATGAAAGAAAGTACACAGCTAATATAAAGAAGAAAGGAACTTTAGGGGCTGCGGACGCCGAGCAGCTGTATCTCAAGTGTCCACTCAATAGCCGACCTGAGCAATCTACGAACTGTCGTTGGGACCGACTCCAAAATCTGCACAAGAAGTGCAGAGTGTAGTATGAGTACAACAGACCCCATGTACTATGTAAGTGCCGAGCCTAACCTCGACGAAGTGGTGACGAGGCTAAGACAGTCACTTACAATAACCTGTACGCAGTATAAAATAATGGTAGGAAAGAAAATGCAGGAACGAATTAAAGCAGTTAATATATGAAAGTATCTCAATCTCTAAAGAAAAACTAGTAAATGCCAAAAATACCAATCCTTAGAGTCTCGTATGAAAATACCGAAGCCAACACAACACAATAAGAAAACAGAAACACATAAATTGTTGCAGCGTGCAACCCGATCCCACCATACAACACAATCCTCCCTTATTACACCATAGTAATATCAACAATAATAAATAAATATATGTTGCGACGCGCAACCCGATCCCACCATATAATCATAATCAATATAATAATTCACCCTTATTTCACCGTGTCAATCCACCATTATTTCACCTGTTGCGGCGTGCAACCCAATCCCATATCAATATAAATTCACCCTATTTCGCCATATCAATCCACCCTTATTTCACTTGTTGCGGCGCGCAACCCGATCTCACCGTATAGTATGAATAAATTAATAAGTGCATTTAATTTAACAACTTAAATCACAAGAGTCCTCTACGAGTAATGGATATGAAGCAGAAACAGAAACAGAAAGGGAATCTCATCTCAAATTAAGAACCCCTGCAATGAATACTAAACAACAAGACAATTCAAATAAATGACAATTAAGGATACAAGTAAGTTATTTAAGGCAAGTAGCAGTAAGTCATGAAAGCATGGGAAAGTCTAACATTTTTAACGCGAGAATAATAAGTGATAAGTAGCAAATAAAGGTATGGGAAGCATTTAAAACACGTAACGGTTAACGCATGGAAGGAAATAATGAATGAAATGCGAAAACTCAGGGAAACAAGTAATTCAGCGGCGTATAAATACTCGTCACCTCGCATATACGCCTCAATACATGAATTTCACATAGCATATAGTTCAAGGGTTCCTAATTCCCTCAAATCAAGGTTAATCCCAATACTTACCTCATTCCGTGTCATGCCCCCAACCTGGGCCTGGACGTAACACGGAACCTGATGCCTGAATGCTGTGACCGAGCGAACCAACTGGCTGGCTGAATCAACATATGATATCATAACATACTGAAAACGGAAGATAAACTAACACATGTTGATACACTAAAAGTCTGAATGATATAAATTAATGTTCGGGAATACTAACATAAGTCTGAAGTATATTTGTAGCCAACATTGCTTAACAAGAAAATCCCGCGACTCTGTCTAACTGTTTCTCTAGTCTATGAAGTCTCTAATGAAGTACTGAAAATACTAACTGTTTGAAAATACTGAAGACTGTAAGGTAATGATAATGCCCCGAAAAAACTGAGGATCACCAAATAGCTGGTACAAGAATCCTAGCGCTCTGAATCATCAACCTGTAAATCATTACCTGCACCGTGAGATGCAGGCCCCGGGAAAAACTGACGTCAGAACATTTGAATTGCACTGGTATGTAAAGCAAATGAAAGAAAGAATTATAAATGCTGAAACTAAAACTAAGTTGATAACTGAAATAATAACTATTGAAACTGAAACTGAAGTGATAACTGATAACTTATAACTGAAATGATAACTGATAATTGATAAGTAATAACTGATAACTGATAATTGATAACTGATAACTGAACTGAACAAAGGAGGTAAGGATATGAATACTCCCTCTTATGAATGATGAACAACCTATTTATCTGAATAAACTACGGCCTCGGGCCCAATATATATGTGCACAAGCTACGGCCTCATGCCCAAGTATACGTATACATAACTACGGCCTCAAGCCCAAAAATGCATAAAGTATCAACTACGGCCTCAGGCCCAAACATGCATAAAGCATAAACTACGGCCTCAGGCCCAAATACAGGTGTTCAACATTCAGGGATTTAAATTCAGGAATTGAGAATCATACTGTAATATGTGATGCTGAAATACTGAATTATATTGAGTTACATGATACTGGAATACTGAATAGGACTAGACTGAGACATGTATTCTTGAACTGATTATGAAAACTGAAACTTCAATTATTTATGACATGCTGAGAAATCTAGACTGAGACTAATGAGCATCAAACCCAAGTCTATATTGATTATGCACTGAGCTCACAACGTTCAAAATGAAAGTCATGAATGAGTTATGAATCTAGATAATAGAAGTTCTGCAACTATTCAAGGAACTAGGCTTAACTATATTTCTGATAAAATTAGTAATGTTGTAAAAGAAATGTAGTGTAGGGAGAATCATTAACATTCCCAAATATAGAGAGTTAGCCTCACATACCTTAACTTCTTGCTCTTGAGCGTAATACAACATTCGCCAACCCTTTCAACTTTAATTTATATCAATACAAGTCAAAGGATTCCATATTAGCAATAATACTCATGTTTTGGTCACTTAGGTATTTTCTCAAACACTTGGTGGCATAAAGATTCATAGCCCTTATTAATGGAGTTTCTACACCCAACAAGCCATTCTCTTGCTTCTAGATAAATTCTAAAATCTCAAATTTCTTATAATCAATATCATTTTTCTTCACCCATAAGATAAACAACACCCTTAACCAATAATCAACAATCAACAATCAACAAACCAAACCTATAATTATTCATGCATTTCTATCAAACCCATCAACTCATATCTCATGAACATAGAGTCTATAATCATTAATCCAATGGTATAATAAATTAGAGGGTGAAGACATTACCTTTTTGAAGTTCAATCCTCTTGAATTCGAGTTCTAGGGTTTCTTCTCTCAACAATGATGCCTCAATCGAATA